ATCGGAACCTCCACCCATATCTTAAATATATTAAACATTGTATCTGCAGCGGATACAATTAAGTGTTCTTCCCCGGGTATCCACTGTTATCACTTATACCTCTTTTCATTCAAGACCTCCATCTATTGAATAACATAGACAGAGAGAATGACCAGTACAACCATGGGAAGATCAATTCAAGAACTCCATAGAATACTCAAATCATTTTAGTAACGGAGGCTGAACAAGGGTGGGTATCATATATGATATTTATTTTATAATTTTAATTGACAGGATGATGATCCTTAAGAAGCATATTACGAAATGTGCCATGTGTGTCGTGTTATATTTTTATGTCACTTTCTTTTTCACAATTTTACATTAAACTTCTCTCCTTTTCTTTTTTTTGTTCCATCATGCCAAATATTAATATAGATTATACAAGAAAGTATCGTTAAAAGGGACTTGAGAAGCCCAAATTAATTTCCACTTTTTCCTTGATAGATAAAAGTTGTAGTTGCTCATTGACTTTGAACTAGTAGCCACCAATTATTGAACATTATGAATCATCAATTTAGAGTCTTGCATCTTTTGCAGAAGTAAAATTTCAACCAATAATAATATATCATCACAAATATTTTTTCATTATTTTTTTATTTCTTTTGTTGATGTCTACCTTGGTGTGCTTTTTTTCATAGATTAATTGAGATTCCAAGATTGGATGTTACATTGTTGTGTACGAGATGGTACACATAAAACCATATTTTCTTTGTTCTCTTTTGCACTCCTCCTATATCTCCATGTCCTATTTAGTATGATCAGGATAACAATAATAAAGTTTTTATTTATCTCAATGATCAATCTCATAAACATTACCTAGTACCCTAAAAATGAACAATATGAATTCTACATCAACTGTAAATGCAGACCATCCATTTAATAGATGATCTATGTATTTAAGACATGATTTTTTTCTCTTTGAAAAATTATTTATATGATAAATCAACGATAATTTGCAACCTGTAATGTAAAAATAACATCTTCAGTAGGTGTCTTGCATGTGAGAGTCAGCTTACACATTGCTCCCCAGAAACTATGTTATAGCCACCATTCATTGAAATTTAAGAATTATATTTTACTGAATGTGCATATTTTGTAGTTCCAAAGATGTATTTGTTTGAAGAACATCATATGAATGATCAAAGATTTTTTTTTTTTTTTGCAGATATCTACAAGAGTGAATGACAACCATGGTGCCTCCGAAGCAACTAGTTGGTACGTGGCTTGCATCCCTAATCTTGTTCATCCTTGATTTAATATTTGTTATGCACCATGCTTTTTACATTATAGAGATACACTCCTCTATTACATTTTTAGATATGTACATTTTATATGTTTTATATTTTTATTTTGTTGGATTAATTTTAAATTTTATGACTAGTAAGAAAATGGAGAATTTAACTATTTAACTAAAAAATAACAATATGAACATGGGTTTATTTTATGTTTTATTACATGCTTATATTTCCATATAAAATGTTTGCCTGTTGGCGAAGTATGCTATGTTCTACATATTCATAACATAGCTATCTAATCATGTTATCATTATCTAATCATTTGGTAGATGTTGTTGGTGGTTGATTATAACCTTGCGAGATTATAACATACAACAGCTTAGACATCACTCAAGTGATATGCCCGACTATTTTTTGTCATTATCAATTAACTAAGTAGACACATATAACATTCATGAGATAATGTTTCCTTGATCACATGAATGAATTGGACACTGCCACAAGTTTTTTCTGTTAATACATATCTCAAGTGTCTAAATATGCTGGCCTAAAAAGTAAACATAGTAGCCTTTGTTGTATTAAATTTTTGTGTTTTTATTAGATATTTTTTACAGGTTTTTTTTGCTTGCTGTTTTCAAGTTTGCAGTGATTAATCAATAAGAAAGCCAACATCGCAGTGGTTTCTTAGTAAGAAAACTAATATAAAATAACTGCAGTAGAGAAAACTTTCTCTTTGTGTGGAAGTTATGACACGAGTTGTTCTTTGGTGTTATCAAATTGCATCGGACCCAAATCACATTTTCTTCTCATATTATAATAAATATCCAAACAATCTACCAACGTAATAAAATAAGACGATAATGTTCTCAATTGAGGAGAAAAAAACTTGCAATTTTTTTCTATATGAATATTTTTTGCTGTGACATCCAAACTGACCCTAAACAAAATATAAGATTTTTGTTCCACCCTAAATTAGACTAGTACTTTTAGGAGGATGCATAACACGAAAAATGTTACTGAAATGGTCAAATCACCTTAGTAAATCACTAAAGTTATCACATTATACCTTAACAGTAGAGTAATTATAAGTTTCATTTCACTCGAGTCCCTTTACAAAGAGTATTCTTAAAAATATAAAAATTGCCATTTTTCAGTTTTAAAAAGCTTGAAAACATAGTGCCATTTTAGCAATTTGGTTCCACTTATGTAGTCCATGCCAAATGACGTAACTCTAATTGTTCAGACTTCAAACTTATGAATCTAGAATATTAATTTCATACTAAAATATCTTTTTCATGGCTCATACTAGCTATTGACTAATGAACCATCAATTGTTAAGATTTAAGAATTGAAATTTATATTTTTAATTGCATATGGTTGTTCCTAGTTGAAAATTTTGAACAATAAGAGTTAATTAAGTGGCTCAGAAAATGATGATTCTAACCTTGCATATTCAGATTAGGAATTCCTAACTTTTTTTCATTAAAAATCTTTGTTTGGTGTTTGTACATTTGAACAAAGAGGGTTTCTATCATCACTCTTTTTAATTACAGTCTCTAGTTATTTTACATCTCTTTATCCAATATTAGTAACAAGGAACTCACATTTTTTTTTTTTTTGGAAATCCTTTTTCAAGTTCTTAAGTCTTAACTAGAGGTATTCATGTCACTTGCCAATGACCTTTAAGTGAGAAAAATTTACCAAAATGCTGCTTTCAGGCTTCCCAAAATAGAATTAGGGCAATTTAAGTATTTCAAACATTTTTTTGTGTAGGTACCATGAAACTTATGAAGTACATTTGAGTATTAAATTATACGATGTGGTCATGTTTTTGTAAAGGCAAAAATTTATATAAGGGCCCACTTTTTATACTATACAAGTAAAATGCGCATAAAAAGTTCACTGGAAAAGATTGTTTCGATGTTGGAAAGCTCTCAAATTGATCATGTTGACTTTAAGATATATGGACGTAAAGTACTTGTAATGAAGTACTTATGTATTTGCTTGATTTATACCATTTTTTGAGCTTTAAGTTTCATAATTAGGGGCAGAAATAAAATTTTAAGCCATCTTAGGAATTTCCAATGTTGAAATTACATCTTCCAATGGAGTTTGGAGTGCGACTTACTTTGATTAAGATTATCTCCTTATAAAAACACCATGTTTTTTTTATAAAAGATGTGGTTTGTATAGATGTTGGAAAGCTCCCAAATTGATCATGTTGACGTTAAGATATATGGACGTGAGGTACTTATAATGAATTACTTATGGATCTAGTTGATTTATACCACTGTTTGAGCTTTAAGTTTCATAATTAGGAGTATAAATAAAATTTTAAGCCATCTTAGGAATTTCCAAAGTTGAAATAACATCTTCCAATGGAGTTTGGAGTGCGACTTACTTTGATTAAGATTATCGTCTTATAAAAACACCAACTTTTTATAAAGGGTGTGGTTTCTATAAGGTTGTCTTCTTATAGTGTAGAAGTGAGACATGCCTCTAAAATTTACTAAGAGATATCATTTTGGTGTTGGAAACATTATGATGGCTTGAAAATATAATTTCATCTCTAGTTATAAAATTTTAAAATTTAAAAACCATACAGATTTAACAGATCAAATAAACATTTCAAAATCTTGAAAATAGATGGTCTAGATAATTTATTATAGAATGCAACTATTTTTTGGATTCAGAATTTATTTTCTTTTCCATGTCCATATGTCTCGAGCTCGAGATAATCAATTGGAAGGTTCTCCAATGCAGGAACACTCTCTTATGTAGGATATTTGAGATGCACATTTCGTTATTAGTACAAGGTTGCAAATTGCAACCTTATGTAAACTTTTTCCTTTTGTGAAATGATTTGAGAAAGGTAATTTTGTGCAAAGGTCATGGCCTTAATTGTATATCGAATAGAAGTGTTCCACAATCAACATTTTTTATCATGGTATTTTTAGGGGTTGCGATGGCCTAAAAAATGATATGGGATCCGGACCCAGACCTGAAACTATAGTGTGGGCCCTGGACCCGAGTCAAAAATTAAAATATCTATGCATTTAACTATATTTAAATATATTCCATAGTTTGGGACCCGAAACAATTATTCGGGCTTTGTGGCCATGTGTGACACCTATCAAATATAACACCTCCTAGAGGTGCGCGTTAGTTCAAGTAGAAGGATTGAAAAGTGACAGGGGTAGGCCCAAAAAGATGTGGTAGGAAATACTACAAAAAAATATAGGGATTTATGACCTTACTAAAGTATGACCTTTAATAGAGTAGAATTACGGATCAAGATTCGTGTAGCTTACCCTAATTAATTAGAAACAGACTATGATGATGATGATGTACCCAAATAGTTTTCGGATGCAAGATTTGGACCCGAACCGGACTCGTCGAGTCTAATTTTAGACCCATACCTAGACCCAGGTCAGTTCTACTCCTAAAGTCGGTCTGGTCTGGTCCATTACCGCACCTCGATATTTTAGATAAAACTTCTACACACGTTGACCCCTTCTTAGCCCATTCCTCAAGAATTAGGTAGATACAGCTCATTTTCACTATGCAATAAGCTAGGGGGGCAGTTTCGTCATTTTCAATGTTAGGGTTGTTCCGGAATTCTTTCAAAAGGTGATGCCAAATACAGTCCCTGTCAGAAAATGGCCGGAAATTACTATCGCGGCGAGAAACCGTGGCAAAGGCGGGGACGCCCAAATTATGCTCTCTGTGATATAAATTTAGATCCAAAACCATCCTAAATACAGACCCCCTCGCCCTGTCTGTTCTCTTCTCTGTGTTCAGTGTCTCTGCTGGGTGAGAGTCATGGTAAAATGCTTCTTCACTCCTGTTTATGAATTCTGATTTTCGTGACTCTTTTGTGTGTGTTTTTTGCCTGGTAAATTATCTGTGAGATATGGTGAGTTCTTACCAGGGTTATATAAGTTTTGTCTGTGAATTTGATGTCTAGAGTTTTTGTTCTTGCATTTGTAGGATATATTATTTATTTTAGTAGTTGGCATCATATTTGAGAAAGAAAGAGAAGATGAGGAAATGAGAAGAATTTTATCATGCTATGGTTAGAATGCGTGTTACTTTTTTTCTTTTGTTTTACCAATGATTTGAGAAATTATGGATTGGGTTTTGTGACCACTGGGGTTAGTGAATAAAATTTCAAGAGAATGATGGATTATTGTATGTTTAATATAGTGTTTTTGTAATTCATTGAGTGATTGTTACTGCAAAAAATAGTTATTTCCAACGTATTTTTGTTGGAGTCCATTATTGATCACGGGGAGTTTCTGGAAGAAAAAAACTTTGTTACTCATTGGAGATTATTATTATTGCTATTTGCTAAATATGTTGAGTTTATCATCAATAATATTTGCTCCAAACAAATGGGTTTTATTTTATTTCATCTGGTCAATCACAACCTGAGTATTACAAATTGAAGCCGAAAAAAATATATCAGCAGGTTAGGCTTTGGAAATCTTGTTCTATTGGTGCAGTTAATGAGTTCACTTCATTGCATGTTCAGTTTCTCTTTCATGATATTGAGTATATTTAGGCCAGTATACTCTGGCATGATAAAATCACAGTTCTCTAGTTGTTCTGTTTTAGGAGGTTCTTTATGTCTCTCAAGGTGCTGAAACCAAATATGTATATTTCTACAATTAAGTCTCAATGCACTATTTAATTAGTCATGTCTTTGTGTAGTGAGACATCTTTTCTCTTATTGCCTATGCTTCTCTTACTTTCTATCCAACAAAATTTGTGGTCCCTTCAGTGTCTCTCCATGCTTGTCTTCATTTATTCTCACTCATCCATCTGTTACAAGTGCTGGTTTTAGCTTTGTAGTTTAAACTTCTCCATACAACAACATGATGTTGAAGTATGACTGATTCTTGGTAGTCATAGTTAAAATTGAACCGCGTGCCATGTATAGATATTAGAATTGTGATTTCTGGTGGTTTTTACAAAATTTTCAAGCTATTTGAGATGATAAATTCAAAAAGTGATAAATTGTTGCTTCATGACAGTACTTGTTGCTCAAGCATGTTTGAAATTTTTATGTTTCTTATCTGTTTGGCATGCACATTGGATTCATTTATGGCCCTTTTATCTTCTCAAAAAGAATCTTCTTTGAGAATGGGATCTTTGACTATGAACTACATGTGCTCCATTTTTAAAAATTATCTACATGGGTAAGGTTAAAATATATGTTTCCATACACTTGCAAACACATGCACACGTATAATATTGGTGCTTGTTCCTATACAACCTAGCATATAATCTGTCTAATGCTTATTGAGTGAGTTCATTCCATCAGTTATCATCTTTTTGGGAATTTGTTTGAATTTATGACCTTAACTGGATCACTAGCAGGATAAGTTATTAGAACTTAAGCTCATTAGTGGTATTATTTTTATCCTGCTAATGACGTCAGTATCAATCTTTATTGGAATACTTGCTTAAGTATCTATTTCCATTCCATGTTTCTAGGATTTGAGCAGCATGGCCGAGAGACTTCGAGTCAGAACAGGGAGGAAGCCTATGTATAATGTGGATGATTCAGACGACGATATGGAAGCTATGACAAACGTTAAGGGGGATAAGCCTGATCAAAATAGGTCCGAGAGGATTATAAGGCCTGATGCTGTATGTTTCTCTCCATCCTATAATCTCTGTAGTGCTGATGATTCATCTTGGGCATGTTGCTGTTTACCATGTGTTCATGAAAGAAATACTGTATGAGCTGCTTTCTGTGATGTGGGAAATTATCCAGTGCTTGATTATTATATATGTCTTCTTCAAACTGCAATCGCCCTGATATAGATTCTTCTATTTGGAATTCACATCCTTTCGTGAAGATTTGTGCATGTCAATTGCAGCTTGACTATTTTGCAGAATTTAATGCAGTTTCTAACTTTCTATGATTTGTTCTTTCATGTGTGGTCTCTGTATAGGTTTGTAGGAAGGCTTCATATTTATCTTCAATATATCTGAAAATAAGATTATTTTTTGGGTTTCAGGATCTGTAATATGCCATTTTTCATGAATATCTTGATGTCATTGAATCTGTGTTATATATTTTGCATTTTGTGGGTCTCTACCTGAGATTTTCTTTTCTGTATGGAAAATTGCCTTCACACAATCATCAAAATTACCCTGATATTTTGAACATAGAATGGTGAGAAAGATTTGGGTTGAAAAGTATGGTGGAATGATAGAATAAATTCCACACTAGTGTGGTCAAGGAAGAGGACAGTGGCAGGATAGAATGGCTGGAAATTGCAGAGTTTCCTTGTGGTTTTAGGCCATGGCAATGACTTGTTATATCTACTTTTCTTCTGGTGGATTCTAATGGTATTGTACTTATTTACTCTTTGGAATTTTGAGCATGATATTTGCTATCTAATTTCATGGGCACTTTGCATGGATCGTACAACCTTATTTTTATGTGGAACAATTTGTGTCCCATCATCATCATTCGAACCTTATCCCAACAATTTGGCATCAACTACACGAATCTTGTTGCGCCATTTTGCTCTATCACGAGCTATATCCTCATACTAGCTATCCAATATCGTAATTTCATGGGTATTTTGCATGGATTTTAAAACCTTATTTTGATGTGGAATAATTTGTGTCCCATCATCATCTTTCAAGCCTTATCCCAACTATTTGGCGTCAGCTACATGAATCTTGTTCTGCCATTTTGCTCTATCATGTTCCATACCCTCAGTCTGACGATCGGTCCTCATATCTCTCACTACTTTCATCCATGTTCTTTTGGGCCTTCCCCTTACCCTTATAGAGCCTTCCACTTGAACCAAATCGCCCATTCTAATTGGTGTTGTATTAGGTCTACGCTACACTTGGCCAGCTCACCTATTTACTTTCTCTCGTCTTATCGCCCATTGGAGCCACCCCTAAGTTCCTTTGGATGTATTCATTCTGAATTCTATCCTTTCTTGTCTTGCCATTCAGCCATCTCAACATTCTCATCTCAGCTACTATACTCATCCTATGGATATGTTATTTCTGAACCGCCCAACATTCTGTCCCATAAAGCATGAATAGTTTTACAGTCGTCTTATAAAACTTTCCCTTCAATTTCATTGATATGTGGCGATCACATAAAACTCTGGATGCACATATCCACTTCGCCCACCCATCTCTAACTCTATGTGTGACATCTTCATCAAGCTCTCCATTCTCCTGGATTATCTCCCATGAGACCATTACTTGCCAGTTAGTTCAATATATTGAAATTGTGATATTGATTCTTATGTTGCTTCATGTTTTGTAGTGTTTTTTTTTCTTCTGGTAGTTGTCCAATCTTAGATTCAATGCTTATGCTTATTGCAGAAAGACGACACATGTCAAAGCTGTGGAGACAGTGGCAAACTTCGTTCCTGTGACACATGCAATTATGCTTACCATTTGAAGTGTCTGCTTCCACCTCTTAAGATCATGCCTCGTGGCAGTTGGAGTTGCCCTGAATGTGTAATATACAAGTGCAAACCATTTGCAACTGGTTATTAGTTTAGATTCTTTATTCCATGTGTGACAATGATGATTATATGTTACAGGTTAGCCCTCTGGAAAATATTGAAAAGATTTTGGACTGCGAAATGAGACCATGTGAGGTTGATGAGGGTGAAGCACCAAAAGGCAGCACAAAACCAAAATTTGTCAAACAGTACCTTGTGAAGTGGAAGGGATTGTCTTATTTGCACTGCTCATGGTAGTTCTACGTTCTAAGTTATTGAACATTCATTTTGGGATGTTAATATTTTGTATTGACATTCAAACTTCTAAGGGAGTGCATTATGTTCTAGCCTGTCTCCTTATGGGTAGTAACAAACAAGTTACACATCTTAAATACAAGGATCGTTCTTAGTATCCAGCCTTTACCTATTGTATCTCTTGTTGTATGCCTTCCTTTAGTACCATACGATGAGCTCAAGATGTCTGCTATTTCTTTGGCTTTCATACTTTATTCTTGCTAAGTCAATGCCTGACTTCTGTGTTATCTCAAGTTATCAATATTCCAATAATCTGCATTTTGACTCATCTACACTCTTCACATGTCTGTCTGCTGGTTTTCTTCATGCAACACTCGTACATCACTTGCTCACTTCCATTTGAGAAGATTAGGCCTCCATTGGAGATATCCTTTGCACCTTTTCTTTGGTTTATTCGAGCTTTTTTTATCTGAAGGTGTTGTATCTACAAACTCATAGAATTCCTTGAACTTTCTGTGGGATTGTTCTCATGCAATTTCAATGTACTCTAAGCAAAGTCTCTATAGTTTCACATTTATGGCCTTGCTTCTTGGTATAGTTAGCTTGATCGGCTTATAGTGCTAATTTGTGCAGTTTCCACTAATTCTGGTTATTTATTTATTTATTTTATCGATAAATTGGTATGGGGCTAAATGTTGCTTGATAAGGAATTACACAAACGTTTTCAATTTACCAATCATCAACGTGCTTTCTGTAGGTTGCTTGAGGAAGAAGTACAAAAGGCTTTCAAGAAAATTCCTCGTTTGAGGACTAAAGTAAACAACTTCCATCAAAAGATGGGTTCAAATACTTCAGAAGAGGATTATGTGTCTATTAGACCAGAGTGGACTACCGTTGATCGAATCATTGCTACCAGGTTGTGTAATTATGTTTAGGGTGATGTTTTTGCTTCTGTAATGTTACTTTTGCATTGTTAGTGGAGGTGTGCAATATTTCATTGGTAGATATGGGCTCTAGGATATAGCTCTGCATTTGATCTGTGGTTTCCAATTCCAGATAACATTTTTAAGTAGATTGCAAGTATTTTAGAATTGTCAACTTTGCCTCCATTTCTTCCACAATGTGGGGAAATTATGCATGTCTATCCTTAAGTTTCCTATGGATCAATTAGTGAATCAAGCTGCAGCATTGTGAATTGTTTTATTTAAATGTCCAGGTTGTATGCTTTAATTGCTCTGCTGTTGCAGAGCTTATTCTTTAAAATTCAATCACTTTATTTACATTCTGATGCCATCTTTGAATATGGTTAATCTGCTTTTCTTATCTAAATTTTATTCAGTATCACATCATACTTTGGTACCATATGCTTTGTTTCTCTAATGGTCTGGGGCAAATAATTGTGTGCTGCTATAGATGATTGTATACCATGATAATAGATACTTTTCCTCCCTTTTTCTAACCTCCTTTTGTTGTTTTTATTTTGTGGTTATATGAAATTAAATTGATACTAGTAGTTTTCCAGGAAGGATAGTGAGAAGCGTGAGTATCTCGTGAAATGGAAAGAGCTTTCATATGACGAATGCACTTGGGAAGTCGGATCAGATATTTCTCCATTTCAATCTAAAATAGATAGATTTTATTCGCTACAATCAAAGGCTGATAAAAAAAGCAAGTCAAAGAACTCAAATCGGGGCACCAAAGAAGCAAAACGCAAGCAAAAGGACTTTCAACAATTTGATAAAACCCCTGATTTTCTTTCTGGCGGTATTTGGTTATTTGAATGGTTGTAGTTGTATTTTGTTCCTGCTGCTAGTATATCTTTTGGTCTTCCATCTAATCTTTTGCTGGAATTTTGGAAGGTTCCTTACATCCGTATCAGCTTGAGGGATTGAATTTCTTACGCTTTTCATGGTCTAAGGAAACACATGTTATTCTTGCTGATGAGATGGGCCTCGGTGAGTTTATATATGTTGGTTGTTTTTTTCCCCCTTTTTTGTTGGATTTTTTTTCTTTTTTTTATATGGATATGGCTTTTTGCTTTGTTGAGTGCAGGGAAAACTGTGCAGAGTATAGCCTTTTTGGCATCTCTTTTTGAAGAGAAGATCTTTCCTTACTTAGTAGTGGCACCTCTTTCGACATTACGCAACTGGGAGCGTGAATTTGCAACATGGGCCCCACAAATGAATGTTGTATGTAGAAGTTTTGGTTTTCTTGAGATGCGGACTAGACCTCTTTACTTCTATCTTTAGGGTTTCCTGAGGTTTTAATCATATCTTCTTGTTCTAGGTGATGTATGTTGGGAGTGCTCAAGCTCGGTCAGTCATAAGGCAATATGAGTTCCTGCGACCAAAAATGAAACCAAAGAAACACAAGTGGAAAGGAAAACAAGTCCCTCCTTCCAAACAAAGCATGCAAGATAGGATAAAATTTGATGTACTTCTAACTTCATATGAAATGATTAACTTTGATACACCATCCTTAAAACCAATAAAGTGGGAATGCATGGTATCCATCTCAACCCTTGAAATGAGGACTTCTTTTGCTCATTTGTTGATCTGTCATCTCTCTAATGCTGTTGTACTCTTTTGCAGATAGTTGATGAGGGTCACCGCCTCAAGAACAAGGATTCGAAATTATTTCAGATATTAAAACAGTACACTACTAAGCACCGTGTTCTTCTAACTGGCACTCCTCTTCAGGTGTGTTTCTTTTAGAAATATGTTGGATCTTCTGTTGTCCTGGAAGGGACATAGAATAATATGCCAGAGTGCTATTGTTCCTTAGCTTGTAAATGTGGTGTATTTCCTCTTAATTTGCCTCAATTATGGTATTGAAATGACTCTGTAGAATGGAGCCATGTGACATCTCTAGAAGTCCATACTATGGTTGCTTTGGCTGGTTTCATCTCGTTGCTCTTGATGATTCATGTATCATTCTGTCTGGTTGTCATTGGATGTTATTCCTCTAGCGACAGTCATGAGTACTTCACTTTGAACTAGTATGGCATATGAATAAACTGGTTGACATTTGCAATTGCAGATTCCTATGGGGTATATTAGAGCTTTCCTTTTTGGGGATATTAAATGTCATGGGCTTGTTTTTTTTGCTTGTGTTTTTCCTAAATTTACCCTATTTTAGTAATGCAGAACTTGTTTTGGATATTATTTCTTTATACATAATGAGAGTGGAGAGCATGGTTGGAAGTAGTAAGAAAAGATATGGGGATTTATGGCTTCACTGAGAGTATGGTCCTTGATTGAGCAGAATGATTGACCGGGATTTGTATAGCCGACCCCAAATAGTTGGGAAAAGGCTCTGATGATAATGGTGATCTTTATACACAATATCTATTTCCCAATCAACTAAAAACAATGCATTGTGAAAACCAACAAAAAAAAATAAATCATCTTGAGAACTATAGGCCACTGACTTCCTTGACAAGGACTGTAATCCGAAGACCTTCAAGACTATGGCCTACGATCTGTGATGTGGCGGAGGACAAGGTTAGGGGTAATTTAATTTATCAGCATGCATGGAGTTCAATCTATATCATAGCATATTACGGAGGGATATCTGTGTTTTGATTCATCGACTGGCTTCACAGAACTTGAAAGCCATCCTTTTTTCCTCTGATGTCTTGCTTCCATATGTGTTTTGACTTAAACTCCTGTGTGCATATGTTGTTCAACAAATCAATGCTGGAATATAGATCAATATTCAAAAACGTGGACTGACGCTGGACACCGTGAAGGGCCAGGTCCGAGTCAACTTGTTGAGTACTGAGTTGGCACTGCTAGTCTTGTCAGGTCCAATAAAAATAACAGAAGAAATCCAGAAAAATGAGGAAATAGGAAAAACGGGGGGAAAAGAAAATTCTGTAGCCTATACATGACGTTCCATGTTTCTAACTTTTCTAACTTCCAGCTTCCAAGTGATTCACATTCAAATTTAAAATGTGATCTACTGATCTGTAAATAAAAAATGGTGAATAACTATATAATATTTGGCAGTTACCATTAAGCACACTAGGCAACTATGAAACCGATTTACACGGTTACAAGTGCAAATGCATATGTCTCAAGTCGTCCAAGTTTGTACTTCATATTAAAGAAGATTGACACCCAACCAAATGCACAAAATAACTACTAGAATCACAGAGACTATAGTCTGCTAAAGTCATAAATACACTCAAAGAAGAGAGGCATTCCAATCCTATAGTACAGTCTACAGCCAACATGAATGTCATGGTAGCACAATTTGTTTCCAAGTGCTTGACCTATCAGTAAGTGAAGGCTGAACATCAGAAACCTGCTGGGCAACTACAACCCTTAACTGTGCCAGGATGGAAGTGGGAGCCACCTAACGATGGATTTCGTGACTGACTTGCCTAGATTAAGTTTGGGGCACGATAGTATTTGGGTCATTGTGGACTGACTCACTAAAGCCTCTCATTTCTTGCCAGTCCGTATTACTTATTCCATGGATAAGTTGGCCCAGGATCATAATCTCCATCGCTGTCTTGGTAGTGGGCCTGGAATTTATGGAGGGGGTTGCTAGCCCCCATGGCTAGTCCAAAGATCGTGCCCACACCCCTGCCTTCCTTGTGCTTGTCTTCCCCTTGCTTGTCACCTCAGCCCGTGGAGTTGCCATCGCCATCTTTTCCATTGCCATCGGAGATATCATCATCTTGTCCATCTCCTTCTTCTTGTCCTCATCCTCCTGTTGAGTGTACTCATCATCCCCGTCCTGTTCTTTTTCCTTATTGATTGGTCTGATCGCATCTTTTAGCACTCTCTTGTTGAGGATCGCTTCTTCCTTCTCCACTAGCCATTCCTTTGAATCTTTCGCAAATATGTCATCGAGATTTTTATGGTTGTAATCTTGCTCTTTCATTGTCAACTGCCTCTTTCTCAAGTCTAAATTGTAGTGCATGCAGTCCAATTTAGGAATCTTTGCTATAACTAACTTGTTCCTCTATGTGTGGGTCCATTGGAATGTGCTCTGGATAGGCTCAGACCTGTTGCAAAACATGTTTGACTCAGAAACCGGATTGCAATTGCTTGCACATAGGAGGTCTCATTTCCCTGTATCTCCCACCATTTATTGAAAAGAAAGATAATGGTCACGTTCGAATACAATCACTGGAATAAAATACAATGGAATGGTATGATGCTTTGCATTGGACAAAAATTTAAAAGTTAACCCAGTTCTAGATGTGTTCAATTTCTTATTGCAAGGCTTGACCCAAAATCTCCTTGCGCATCCATAAATAGAGCATGCTAAAAGAATAAAACCATAAACAGAAGAATGTTACAAAGGTGGATCACGTAAATCATGCAGCAGAGAGGTCTTCAGCAGTTTGCAATTTCACGTACACCAAACTTTACCTCTTCCAAAGTCTCAATTTTTTGACTTCAGCATCTCGCTCCAATCTTTGAATGCAATACTTCACCCCATCCACGATCTCAAGGTGCTATAACAGTAAACCGGGTGAAAGAAAAAACCTAAGCACATTCTTGAATGATACATCACTATGGATTAGTTGTGAAATAAAGAAACCTCCACAAGGCTGATGGCACATAAATCACAACATAAGGGATATTGAAGGTTACCTGCTGCTTGGATTGGGTGGTGCGGTTGAGCACTCCACTGGTCATCTATTATGTCTGATGCTTTGTAGTACTTGCAGTTGGCTCTGATGGTCTACTTTGCACACTCTGTTGTTTTATATAGAAACCCATGGCAGGCTTGTTGTTAGAATCAACCATCTTCAGAACTGCTACGAGTGGACTATAACAGTAACAATTTTCGTACACTTATCCTAAAACTTGTGGCTATTCATGATTTTCTTTGACTTCTCTTGCGGCCAGAGTCCTTGAGATAGGTGAAGTAACCCATTCATTAAGGCAACCATCTTCTTCAATCTTGCGACCTGTGGATTGACTTTATAATCAAGTATAAGGTAAATCTAGGAATAGCTGGCCTTATCATCTCTCCTCCCTCTGTGTATTTTCTCATTGTGGTTATGACCTGGGAGTGATTGTATATGACCTTTGTGATTCTCTTCCCTTTCTCAAGGTACTCCTTAACTTCATGTAGTTTACCGATTGCTTCCACCATCAGGCAAATACAGTGAGCTGCACATGGGCTCCAAACACAATGTTTTCTCTTGTTCATAGGCCTCGTCCTCGAATTCATGTAGTTTTTTGCATTATCAATATGAATTGAACTAGGCCTCCTGCCCCATAGGCTCCACCACATTATCAACTGACTTAAAACGGAGTATTCTGGTATTGATTTTGTTGAATGCATCCAAATTAGCATTGAAGACTGTACCTCATGGACAATATACCAAGAAAAAAATTAGGTTCCTTCCGACCATCTGACCCTAGTGTGACCTGTTTCCCTCGCGACATCTCCTTTTACTCCATGAATAAATCAATCCGACCACCTCCGTATCCAAGCAAGGCTCACTAAGCTTATGTGCATTTGGGGGCTTCTTACCTCATTGAGTGGATGATAACATCATCAAAGCACTTAGCAAAACACGTAGCAATTGCTTCATAATGTGTTTCCTAATTGCTTTGCTCCACATGGACCTAATGATCATTTGCTTTGACTGGAGTTGGGACAAATGCGGGGTCAATTTGACTTGGGTAAGCTGGGCAGCAACTAAAGGAAGCCAATTACAGGAAAGAAAGAGCAATGAAAGCACCTGAAAAAGAGTTTCTGAAAACCGCACCATTGTTCCTAACCTGAATGACCCAAGCTGCATCCTGCCATGCTAGGTATTACATGACTTGTCCAGGTCCTAGGTGCCTCTCACCAATATGTCTTCCCATGCTGCTCTTCTTGTGGTGCATATCTTATAGACTAGCCTCCTTACATACTCAAGTTGGGACTCAAAATTATCCTCTTTGTCTTCTTCTTGTGGTGTATTAGCACTATCTTCCTATCTCTTCAACCATTTTCTGTCATTTTTCATGTGCTGCACGAAGCAGTGCTTGCTGGCACAAACAGGTTTTTTATCACATGCCACAACATCACTCCTCACCTTAGCTAGTTGACCGCTGAAGGTGTGGCTATGTAGAATTCCAAATAATAAATTCAAAAATTAATTATAGGAACATAAATAAAGTTGAAAATAAAATTTTTGAAGTTCTTAAAAAATTCTAAAACACTAAAAAATACCTCTAAAAGTGGATTGGTACCAATTGGTCAAGAAAACTGACTCTCAGGGTATTCCATCCATGCTAGAAACCGTGATCCATGACTATCTTCTCAAACCAACCTAATGGGACCCATGACCCAAATATGTGCGGGGGCTCATGATTGGCATGTCAAAGCTGGCCAATAAATAGTAGAACCATGGTCCTAGTATGTGGATTATGAGTTCGCCCCAAAAGCAAGTCACATGCACATATCACTATGGTGCAAGGGAGACTTTCTCTATGCACATGTGCATGTATCCTTCTATAAGGTTGCTTCCTAGAATGCGGTTGTAATGTGTTCATGCTGTGCGAAAGTTTGTTGAGAATTTGATTTTCACTCTTATAAAACTATGGCTGCACACAGGAGACGACAAAGCTCTCCTGGCCTGCACACATTGTCCCAGGGCATCGCTTTGACCTCAACAAGGGATTGCCCTCTTGTAACCCCCAACGGTAGTGCCTATGCCCAAGGGAAAGGTTCTGGACAT